TGCATACAGGTCACGTGAGCAGGTCAGGTGAGCAGGTCACGTGAGCAGGTCAGGTGATCAGGTCAGGTGATCAGGTCAGGTGAGCAGGTCAGGTGAGCAGGTCACGTGAGCAGGTCAGGTGAGCAGGTCAGGTGAGCAGGTCACGTGAGCAGGTCAGGTGAGCAGGCAGTGAGCAGGTTCAGGTGAGCGATGCTCACCGTGACACCGCCACTGTGACGCGGTAGCAGACCAGACGTGCTGTATGTGCGTGGTGTGTGTGCTGTGTTTGTGTGCTGTGTTTGTGTGTATGTGTGTTGTGTGCTGTGTGTGTGCGTGGTGTGTGTGTGCTGTCTGTATGTGTGCGCTGTGTGTGTGCATGGTGTGTTGCGCTGTGTGTGGCTGTGTGTGCGCGCTGTGCATGTGCGTGGTGTGTGCGCGCTGTGTGTGTGCTGTGTTTGTGTGGTGTGTGGTGTTGTGTTGCTGTGTTTGTGTGCGCTGTCTGTGTGTGTGCGCGCTGTGCGTGTGCTGTGTTTGTGTGCGCTGTTTGTGTTTGTTACTGTGTGTGTGTGCGCGCTATGTGTGTGTGCGCGCTATGTGTGTGTGTGCGCGTTATGTGTGTGTGGTGCGCGCTATGTTGTGTGTGTGTGCGCGCTATGTGTATGTGCGCGCTATGTGTGTGTGTTGCGCGCGCTATGTATGTATGTGCGCGCTATGTGTGTGTGTGCGCGCGTATGTTGTGCGCGCGCTATGTGTGTCGTTCGCCGCTCTCGTCGCGTAACGGCGGCCGTCATCGCCGCAGACTTAGCGACGCCTGGGTTCAATGCCAGGACGCTGCCTTGCGGGTGGTGCTCAATCGCTTCCTCCACTCAGGCAGCTGCCCAGACGCTGGGCCGCCTCGACTGGCACGTGGAGTCTCAGAGTCCCCGGTGCCGCTGGGGGGGGGGGGGGGGGGGGGGTCACAGTGGCCGTGTCACCACCACCACCAGCCCAGCCTGCGCCCAGTGCCGGATGAAGCTAGTGCGGGGCCTGTAGCACGTATTGTTACAAAGGGGCCCTAAATGAAAACAAAAAAACACGAATTCTTTACTTGCACAGTAAAGTAATTGTATTTTTTCATTTGCTATACAGCCAGATAATACGACAAGTCGCTAAGCTTAAACACCCGGTCGTTCGTAAAAGTTGAAGGTGGTATAGTACATAGTAATAGAGCAAGTGCAGAATCACTGAACCGGAATTGATAGCTTGAAAGCGTTTAGCGGGGCCCTTGAAGGTGCGGGGCCCGTAGCTACATATCTACATATGTAGATACTAGATACAACACATGTCGCTACTACATAGCGACAAATGTTGTATGTTGTAGCTACTTGTGTACTCGAGTGGCAATCTGCATCTCCAGTGGGCGGAGCTACACAAATAGTGGGCGGGGCTACCTGGCCAGTGGGTGGAGCTACACAAATAGTGGGCGGGGCTACCTGGCCAGTGGGTGGAGCTACACAAATAGTGGGCGTGGCTACCTGGCTAGTGGGTGGAGCTACACAAATAGTGGGCGTGGGCTACCTGGCTAGTGGGTGGAGCTACACATTTGGTGGGCGTGGCTACCTGGCTAGTGGGCGGAGCTACACATCTGGTGGGCGTGGCTACCTGGCCAGTGGGCGGCGCTATACAGAAGTGGGCGGGGGGCTGAGGGAAGGAGGGAGGGGCTCCCAGGTCACCGCCACGGGTCACCGTTGACCCTCTATGGGGCGTGTGGCTGCGGTGGCTTTTAACTTTTAAGCGCCGTGGTTCATTGTTAGGTGAGAGAAAAGAAAAAAGAGAAGAGAACGCGGCATTAACGAGATTGTCGTTTCCCTGGACTCTTCTGTTTGTGTCGTTCAGAAACACAAATCACGGACCTGTGCGGAGGTACTGTATATGCCTGGCGAACTTCTTGAGTCAAACTTGCCTGGAGTGATTTCTCCTTTCAAACCCCTTTTTTTGTTTCCTCTCATCATTTTTTGAATTGTTTGTGTTTTTGTGTTGAAATTAGCACGTGGGAATGACGATCGCCGCGGTTACTTTCAATTTCGTTTGTTTTTTTCGCTTGCATGTGGCCGTGCCCGCGCGCTCGCCGCCTCCATTGGAGCCCGCTCCGCTGCGAGCGATCGATCGACCTGCGACCGCTTTGTCCGCACCGT